AAAAAAAAAAAAAAAAAAAAAAAAAAAAAGGGAGAGGAAGAAGAAGAGATAATCACTAATAAAATTGATTACTATGCTTAAATTGTGTTACTACATACTCTCTGGAGATCAGGCTATCTTTCCAATAGACTCTAAAATCATATTCTAGAATCAACCCCAGTGCATCTAGATTGGCTCCCGAGACATTCAGATCACTGCGTGAGACTATATGTTGACCTGAAGGAGTAGCATCACCCACCATGGTGAGAGGGAAAGTAGGGGAAGAGGAAAAGGGGCCCACTCACTTTCCACACATACCACCTTCCCCACCTGAGCTGTCTCCCCGTGACTAGCTCAGACTATTCTCCAGGTGATCTTGCCAGTCACTACTCACCAATGGCTAGTCTGAATGCTTAGGAAGACCTCGTATTAAAAAGTGATGGGATCACCTCTTCAACTCACCTGTTTGAATAGAAAATGGACCCCTTTCCAAAATACCACACAGGTAGAAAATTGAAGGCTCTACGAGTCCATGAGAGAGTTACTACACTTGATCTTAGCCAAAGGCAGAGAAGCAGTTCCATGAGAGAGTTATAAATAAGCATACATATGAAAAGGAAGTGTTAATAGGCACAAAAAGCCATGAGAGCTGCTGTTTCACTTGAGTTTTACAGTGAATCTTTGTCTCTGGGTTTCCAATTTATTGCAGGGCTAGGGGAAGGAGAAAAGGGTACAGTGGTCATGTTTGTATCTCTATAATAACACACAAAAGCATTTAAAAATAAAATATCTGTGATTAGTAGTCTTTCTATTTGTTTGATCATAGCATCAAGAGATTTAGCAAAGCATCCTAATAATTAAAATGCGAAAGTTGTCAGTTCCTTATCTAGGACCATCTGGAGACCAGCCCCCATACTGAGATACACAGAAGGATCGAAGAAAACAGATCAGCCCAAACATTTTCATGTTCAGTTCAGAGCCAGTGGAAGGGAAAATGTATTAATACAATCATAGATGAGCTTCCACAATTGAGTGTTTTATCCATAGCCAAAAAAAATGAATTTCTCATTACACTTCACACCTTACACAATTATTAACTCAAAATGCATCGTGGATTTAAACATAAAGATATGAAATCTGAAATTAAAACATATTTAAAAGCCTTCTGGGTCTAGAGCTAGACAAAGATTTTTTAAATTTGTCACCAAACATAGGGTATGGCCAGTCAGGGTAGTGAGCCTGGAATCCCAGTACTTAGGACACTGAAACAGGAGGTCCCTTGAGTCCAGGAGTTCAGGGCCATCCTGGGCAATTAAAGAAAGACCCCATCTCAAAATAAAAGAGAAAAAGAAAAAAACTCACACAAGGAAAAATTGACCAAAGACTCCATGAAAGGAAAAATTGACAAAGTGGGCTTTATCACATTCAAAATTTTTGCTCTGTGAAGGACTCAATAAAGAGGGTACAAATACGAGCTATAAACTGAAAGGAAAATATTTCCCACTCTCTATCTGACAAAGGACTGATGCCTCAGCTACAAGAAGAAGTCTCAAAATTTAACAGTAGAAACACAGCTTCCGTTGGTTGTAAATCAAAGCATGGAGGACTTCGATGAGCAGTACCAGGAAGAGTGCTCCACTGGAGGAGGAGCCCGGTGTTGGGGGCACTTTGTGTACCCCTGTGGCCATCTCCCCAGTCGTGCCTTCAGTGTCACAGCAGCTTCATTTGTCGCACAGTCCATTCAGGAGGTCAGGACACAAGAGCTCGCCAGTCTCATGCATTCGTTATTTGGGCAGCCAGCGAGTGTGGGGAGCACGGAGACGTGAGCGATTGAGCCGGGTGTAACCACCATCCTCAAGGACATAGAGCCAGCCAGAGAGCAAATGTGAGAAACCGACGTTTGTGAGGAGCTTGGTCTGAACGTTTGTGTCTTCCCAGAAGTCACGTGTGGAAATCCTACCGGCCAATGAGATGTGTAGGGAGATGGGGCCCGGGAGGTAACTAGACTGAGTGAGGATCCTTCGTGACTGGGATCAGCGCACTTATCAAAGAGGCCCGGGGAGCACTTCTGCCAGACATTAGGAATAGAGATACAAAACCTGCAAGACAATTCAGAGACAAGAAAGATCTGTCCACATGGCACATGCATGGAAAGCACGGGAGGATGTTGTCAACTCTCAGGTTCTAGGTGTGATGGAAATGTCCAGGAGACATAACTGTGGTCCAAGAGGGACCCGGCCAAGGCCCTACCTGTAATCATTAAAGCAGCACCATTCCAGTAAGCCTGGTAAGCCAGAACGCTCATGGAGAAGATAGTCTAGGAGGAGAAGAACCTGGAAAGCTTTCTTGGAGCCAGAGGGGTAGGAGCTGGAAGGTGACCCCAGTGTCCAGAGGGGAACGTGTATGTGCCAATCACATGGAAGCCCAGGATCTGGGGGCCTCCTGCTAAGAGGCAACTCCAGCAGGCCTCAGAAGCAGGGGGACTCTGGTGTGGCAAAATGGGGACCCGAGGGTATGTCAGAGAGCACCCACTGCAGGAGGCCTGAGGGCCACCTGGGCAGCCCTGGTGGCAGAGCTGCAGGATGCATCCCCACAGCGCCACCAACTGGCAAGACCCTCAGGAGAGATTTGCCCCTGAACAGGTAAGCACAGGTGCTATCATTATCAAATCAACTCAAAGTCAGAAAGCTAGGCGGTCAGCCATACCAACAAAAGAGACAGGAGTCAAAACTGAAGGTCATGCTACACCTATTCATCAGGGAAAAATGCGTAAGTCCTTGAATCTGCGCTGTGATATACCAGACGGACCATGAGAAGAAAGCTAGTAACAAAGAGCTCCTCCGACAGAGGCGATGGTGTGCTTGGTGTCCTGCTGTGACTTAAGTTGTATATGGCACTGCGATGGTGCCCATTGTGGGATGAACAAGCACTTTTGCACAATGTGCAACTCGGCTCTGCCATGAGGCAGCAGGAGAAACCAAGGGTGGCAAGGAGGACCTGGCTGCTGTCTGTACAGTGCTGCCCTTGGTGAGCACTGCAGGCTGAAGGTGCCAGCAGCCCTGTGCACAGGGTCCGAGCCCAGACTCCCCGGGCCTCGCTGGGCTGGCTGGGTGGAAGCACAGGCCCGTCTGGGCCATCAGGGAGTGTGCAGGGTCAGGAAGGAAGCCCAGCCACCCTACGCTGGAGTCCAGGCTCTTGGCCCACAGGCCAAGTCCTTCCTCAGTCTCCTCAGAAGGCGTCTGAGTGGCTGGGGTCCCTGTCCTCCTCAGATGGGCCTTCCTTCTGTCAGGGTGACCTCCAGCCACAAGGCTAAGACGTTTCTATCAGGAAGGGCACACCTGTGATCCCAGCACCCTGGGAGCCTGAGGCAGGAGGCTTGCAAGTTCAAGCCCAGCCTGGGCAGTTTAGTGACTCAACAAGAACTTGTCCCGAAATTAAAAAATGGCTGGTGGTGTAGCTCAGTGTGATGGCCCTGGGTTCTATCCCTGGTACCACGAAGGGGGGTGACACTTGCTCAGTGTACTTCTATGACCCTATCACAGTAAAAGCTTCCTGAAGGAAGAAAAAAAAAAGACTTTGAGCTTCAGATGGCAGAGTCAGACTTCCTCATGGAATCCTCCTCCCCATCAGTGGTCAGTGGGGCAGCACATTGTCCTCCAGTAAACCCCTAGATATTATCAAAGACAGAAATATAAGTAAAGGGGAAAGCGGAAACTTCCCATGACACTATAAAGTGTCTCTCTTCATGGATTGTCATTCAGTTGTAAAGAAGAATGGAACTATGTCATTTTCAGGAAGATGCATGGAGCTGGAGAGCATCGTCCTGAGTAAAATTGGCCAGGCTCAGAGAGACCAGCACCCTGTGTCCTCCCTAATATGTGGAATCTTAAAAAGATGACAGAAATGTGGAAGGGAAACAAGAGGAACGGAACAAGAGGGAGGAGAGGGGTACAAGCCAGATGGATGGACATGGTGGAAATATGTACCCTGAAACCCAATATTTTGTAAAATTAATAGGCACTAATAGAAGTATATTTTTTTAAAAAAAGAGAGTCTGGCATAACTAGCACTAACACCACTATCACCTGGAAATCTGTACGCGATTACATGACGGGATGTCTAGCATGTGCCGTTCTGAGTCATCAGAATGAGATGCTTCCCGAACTGACCTTGCAGAACCCCCCCCAACGAAGCTGACGTTGATGAATATGTACAGGTGGAGTTGTACAAGCCGAGCTCTGAGAGCAGTATTTGTGGATGTGCCCAGGCCTCTGTCACACATGAGCCAGGTGGTGGACCAGAGGGGGAGCCAGGGGCCCCTCAGGAGCCACACAAACGGCCAGCAGTGTGCCCAGAGACACAGACACCCCGGAAAGGACTCTGGTTGGAGCGGGGGCAGCCCCGGGGCCGCCCCAGACCTGCACCCTGATCCAGCCACAGCAGTCCCCAAGGCCCTGCTCTCCAACATGGCTCCAGGTCCCACGAAGGCCACTGCCCTCCCTGCCTCCTCTCTGAGTCTCTGCCTGGGTCCATCTGATCCCCTCATCCTCTTCTTCATCCGTGCACAAAAGCATCATCCACCAGCAGGGGCTGCAGTGACCAGTGTGGGACAATCTGAGCACCAAAAGCAAAAACGCCAATAATGGACAATAGCACGTTGGCCAAAAAGCAGTAAAGTCCCATGAGTCCCTAGTGAGACCTGGGGAGGTGGAAAACAAAGAGGAGAAGGGAGGGAGGGGAGAGGAGAATGGAGAGAAGGAGAAACGGCGTCCGTGAGAAGATGGATGAGGGTCAATCTGAATTCCTCTTCTGTCCATGAATGCCTGCTTCCTCCAGGATGTGACTTACCCACTGCAGGTCTTTTCCATGCTTTTCCTGCAGGCTTTTCTCACAAACTGGTCTCATAGCAAGAGTGGGACCATCACTGAGCCTGTGCCGGAGGGCTGGGGAAGCATTTCTTCCGCAGGGAGCTTCTTTGGCCCTGGTGTCTGGGGAGGGTTCTGCCAGTCCACAGGAAGGTGGTCCCCCCACCCAACGCGTCTCATAGACCCTGAGAGCCCCCAGAGCACAAGTAGCCTGGGCTCTGGTTTCACGCTTCCTCCTCCTTCTCCAGCAACCTCAGGAGGGCGGGGGCATCCGGGCACTGGCAGCCTGGCAACCCCTTGTTGGTGGAGTCCCAGAGCTCAGAGACCCTCCAAAAGCAGAGTCTGACAGGGTCAGGACAGCTGAGCACAGATGGACATCGGGGTACATAGAGGGAGGCCCAGCCCTGGAGGCCTGCTGGTCACTGACTGTGCCATGGGGAGGCATCGGATTTCAGAGGCCCGGGGAGCCCTGGAGGTGCCCAAGCCATGCTGTGACTCTATCAGAGCTGCTCTCGCTCTGAAGTGGCTGGCAGCCAGTGCCACCAGGGCGGATTTGCTCATGTAGGAGGCAGCGTGGGCAGCCCTGGACTGGACATACCCAAGGGAGCCTGCCCCGGTGCCGCCAGGGCGTCTTTTCCAGCTGCCAGGCTGTGTGGTGGACAATCCCTGCCGGGGCTGAGTGCCCGCCAGCCCAGGACTGCTGGCGCTGAGATGTACTGCTAGACGGTTCCATGGGAGCCTGTTCTCATCCCGCATGTCAGCTCCAGGGAGAACGTGAGCACAGGTGCGAGTCGGGAGAGAGGCTGTGACACAGTGCGGAGCAGTGGAGAGGAGGCTGAGGCAGGAGGGCCGAAAGCATGAGCCCAGCCAGGACACCTGAGCAACTGAGCGAGGAGACCCTGCCTCAAAATTTTAAAAATTTCTAAGAGCAGAGATGGATCGCAGTTGACTAAAAGACTCACTTCCAGATGCTAACACCGAGCATCGGGCTGTGAGTGAGCGATCCTCAGGATGAACATGTGATATTTTTTGGGCAATGCTGCCAGTTACTCAGCCACTGAGCTACACCCCCAGCCCTGTAATGATTTTGTACTGAGGTGAATTTCACAAAACACAAAATGAGCCACTGTACAGTGGACAGTCCGTGGTCCTGGGTGCCTCCACGGAGCTGCACAGACATCTCTTCAATCTCAACAATGCCATCCATGTCACCTTGGGGACTGTAATCCCTCTAAGGGGTCTCACACTGGGGGGTGGGGAGCAGAGGAACATGGAGGGTGGAGATGGTGGGCGCTTGCCTGGGCTCTGAGCGGAGCTGCCCCTATGCAGGCTCGGGGTGGGCGGGGTGCCATCTGTAATCCCGGTGCCCTCCAATGTGACCCCAAAGCTGCAAAGCCAGGCCCCCAACACCAGGCTGTGGTCCAAAACTGGCTTCTGGGCTCAGTGAGGGGACAGGTGCGCAAGAGGAGGGGACGCTGCGGGGTATGGGCAAAAACCTGGAACTGGCAAGTGACACATCAGGGCACAGGACAGGGAGAGGCTCCAAGCAGGGTGACAGGACAGACAGGATTCGGGCTGGGAACTCAGTCTCTTTGGGAAAGGAAGGAGCCAGACAAGAGAACAGGACCAAACCCGAGCTGTGTCTGCGAGGAGGGCACTGAGGACAGACAGCAGCACGGGCAGGGCCACCTCAGGGAGCCTGACCATCATGCCATGGGTGGTGGGAGGACAGGGTGGGACCTTCGTGACACCAGCCACGGTCCTGGCAACTACAGTGTATGTGTGTTGTGTCGTCCGGCCTTGGCAGACAAACCATGCCTGTAATTAACAGAAACATTGTTCTCCTCTGACAGGAAGAAGATGAAGTGTGGAAAATGTCTCCCAGTGTTTTCCTTCAGTCATTGCAGGAAGGAAATAACTTGTACAAAGGTCAGTCTGGGAGAGTAATCAGGGTGACCAAGGCGGCGCTCTGTCCACCGAGCACAGCACGCTGGCCCTGGTGCCCAAGTATCGGGAGGACCCGGGCGCCCGGTCGAGAGGGGCCCTAGGTACACACCTCACTGTTGTGTCACTGATTCCTTTTGGATTCACAAGTCATATCATTGGTAAAAAGAGCAAGACTCACACAAGATGAGAACATATTAGAAACTTCTGTCCTGTGTTTTGAACGCCTGAGACTTCAGCTGACCATTTGCTTGCTTCGTGGCAGGGAAGGCAATATTTCCTAGACTGTTTATGCAGCAAAAATCAATGCCATCTGCACAGAAAAACGTCTTCATCCTATTAGAGTAAGTCACATAGTTCTGTTGTCCGTTGTTGAACATGACTGCCTTGACCATGATCTGGCCAGACCTAAGAGTACATGAATTCAGACAGTCCCGTTATAATTTGCTGGAACTCTCCGCCATTTCCTCTATTCCCACCCTACCCTCAGCACAAATCCTGGCCCAGAAATACCCATCCACATGACCCCAGTCATCAGTGCCCCAATGGAGATTCCTGGAAATTGCAGTGAGGACGTGAAAGTATATTCCCAACACCAGCCCGTCAAGTACCTCATTCCTGCCCTGGTCTTTTCAGGACAGCACTGGCGCTGTCACTGAATAAAGTGGACTCCGCTCTCAGCCCAGTACACTGAGTCTCCATCCTGAGCAACATCAATACAGTTGTAGATTGGATGTGCTCATTATAAATGAGAAAAGCATGCAGGTGGCACCCCAAGCTCTTCTGTAGACCACCGGTGGCAGGGAGGGTACCAAGTGCAGGAGATGCTGAGCCAAGGTGTAGCCCTGAGGGAGCTATGACACGGGTAGGGTTTGGCATCTGCTGTCCCAGGGAGGCAGGAGGTCACAGGGAAAGCCTCCTCTTCTGTCATTGCCATTGGACGCCAGGGGTTATGTCTGAAATGGATGAATCAGGAAGGGCCCTGGGAGCCACAGGGCAGAGATGAGAAGAGACAAGCTCTAGCTGAGGGAGCTTGGCCAAGCTAGACCAGTGCAGGGAGTCTGTGGCCTTGCTCAGAACGCCTTCAGGCCTGCCCCTCCCCGGCCAGCTGCTGTCCGTGTGCTCACCCTGGCCTTGGGCGGAGGCCCCTGCTCTCTGTGGCCCACTACAGTCCCGAGTCCCTCCAAGGCCTGGGCCTCCTCCTTGGGGCTCCAGATAGTCAGGATTCAGCCACTGACTGTTCCCTGTCTTCTGTAGTGAGTGCCTGGACATGAGAACAAATGCCATCCAGAGGCGCAACAGGGGCGGGCGGACTTATTTATTTCCTTTTAGCACTCTGGATTTGTTGCAGACAATATGTGTGCCTTATTTTGACAAAATCTAAAACAATTGGGGGACATTTTTAAGAAACATCGGAGGTTCCTATTGGGAAGCCAACTCCTGCAATCTGCCAACCCTCCGAGGAAGACTCTGGAAACCATCCCACCTTTTGTGGAGTGTCCTTTCCCGAGGGCTGGGAAAGGAAGCATGAAGTGTGGCTTCCTGGGCAGACTGGGGTGACAGTGGAGGAGGTGTTTCCTGCCAGGTCTTCCTTACCTTAGAGGGGCCAGATCTCTTCATCTCAGAATTCTTTTCTTTCAAAGCAAAGGTTTTCCTTTTCAAATCGACATTAGCATTTTAATCACTCAGAGTAACTCCCCCAGCCCTCCCGCACCACCTCCCCTACGTGTGAACGGGTTGGCCCGCTTTTCACATTCTTGGGATAAAAGCTCACTCTCGCTCCAGGAGCAAGAGGGGCACTGGCTGCCCTCTGAGGGTCGGGAACAGCTTCCTGCATTTATAAATGCCCATGAAATTCTTAAAGGGATTGAACAGTGGCCTGTGCAAAAGTGTCATGAGAAAAGCAAAGTTTCAGCGGAGAACTCAATCCACTGAAACCATCTCAAGGAGAAGTTGGAAAAAAGCTGCTTGTGTCGCTTTATTTTACAAGGAATCTGCAGCTCCCCCTTGGGAATGTGTTACTGGAGCTGTTTTTCCATAAATAATCATCTCGTGATTTCCTCCCTGTTAAGTAGTCTGCACTCTTTTTATTACAGAATAAGGTGCTCCCCATTTTAGGGAAAATCATGCAGTGAAGGAGAGGAGTAGCCCTTGTAAATAACAAGCTGTTTGGTTTAAAGTGCCTTCGTGAAACTAACAGGTTTTGCTGTTGTCCTCCAAGAGGGAAATCTGTTTGAAAGAAGCTCTGTTAGTAAATAACACACTGAAGCCATTTGTACTGTTTGCAAGGGGAAGAGCTTACCATTGTGAACACATAAAAAGAAGTATCTGTTATTCAAATGTTTTAAAGTGACCCACACTTTAAGCTTATATAGATTTCAGAAAATATGCTTTAAAAAAAAGAGTGATTACCTTCAAATGGAAACACCAGAATTCAGCTGTGTTTCAGCTGTTCACAAATCTACAAGCCAAACACAAGCCACCTTCTGCAGGGTTCTGGGCAAGGAGCACACTTTCAAATGACACTGAGGCCGCGTAGTATTTCTGAGTGGGATACAGAAGCCAGTTTATGCACTGTGTTTATCCTGGACCCAGGTGCCACCTGGCACGCCCAGGAAAGGCTATTTCCAAAAGTAGAGATTCAGTAGGCTCCTGGGCACCCCCTGCATGCCCACCCCACCTGTCTGCTGCCCGGAGCTCCCACTCCTCTGGGTCGTGCTCCCTGACCCTGTGGGGCGGTGACACCCTCTGAGCTTCAGAGCCCCCCTGTGCTCTGGGCCCCTGGCTCTCGTGGCCACCCCGTCTGTGGAAGGACACATGGGAGAATTACTTTGATGAAAATTTTACCATCTTTGTGATTTAGTTCTCACTTACTTCTTCTAAGTCCACAGTGACCTTTCTAGGAGAAATTTGGGTCCTCTCTGCATCATGGTTGTCAGAAGCTGCCTCTCCCCAGCCTTGGGTCCCCAGCAGGCTCCTCTGCATGTCTGGGAAGCAGAGTCCTTGGTCAGCCTTCCACTTTCCATAGCAGGGGCAGGTGGGCCTGTGACTTTTAGGAAAGTGGGGTCCTCTGGACAGGGATCCTGGGTCCAGGAAAGCTGGGTTCCCCAGAGAGACAGAAGAAAACAGCCTTATGATTCTGATGCCCATCCCAATCCTGGCCAGTGGATGCAAAGATCATTCCTCAGCCACCTGAGTCCCCCCAGGCAGGCAGCCTGGTGCAAGGGCTGAGAGTTGTCCTGCCTCTTAGGGGTAGCTGGCAGTGGACGGCAGCCTTGCTGAGCCTGTGAGGAGTGAAAACATCTCTGTTCTAAGCCACTGGGGAGAAATGAGACTGAAGGAGCTATGCAGTACAATAAAGAAAAGACAGTGAATGTCTAAATTTTTACTACAGTAAAAGACATATTGCCACTAATCTCCCTCAAAATACTCCCCAGCTTCACTTATCCCATCACTGTCCATCTTCTGCAGCAGTTCTGAAGTCCTCACTCCTTAGTTTCTTCAGTTGTGCTGTCTTGGCTACCTCGATGTCCTGAATCCATTCAAAACTATGACCTTTCATGGCCATTTTTACTTCAGGAAAGAGCCTGAACTCAGAGTGCCAGATCCCAAAGATAAGGTGGATGAAAACACCATAGCGTTTTCACGAGCCTGCCTTTCCACCGGATGACACTCGGCAGCAGCATTTACCATATTTATATCACACCTCATAAAGACGCTCAGGAAAGGGGACTCCAGAGTTACTTCAGACACTGGCCAGAGTGGTGGGATGAGTGTGCTCGATGGGAGAGAGAAAATGTGGGTGGGGAGTTAATAGCAATATGCCTTTTATGATGATTTTTTGTAAATTTAAACATTCACTATGTATTTTGATCACATAACAGAGACGCCAGGAAGAGGTTTCGCTTCTCAGAGTGTCCAGGCACCTCTTCAAGCTGGAGACCCTCGGACTCCTGCACCTCAGACCCCACTGCCCACGCTTCTACATACATTTTGTGCCCCCATCCCTCTGAAAAATGAGCTCTGCTTCAGCTTAACTGAAACGATACAATCTTAGCCCTATCTTCGCTCAGATCACATTCCTCTGGGTCCAACCCTCTAACACCAGAATAAGGCAGAAGAGAAGCTTAAAACACGTGTGATTTCAAAACCATCCCAAAAGAAATTCAAAAATAGAGCTGTTGGGCCGGGGATTTAGTTCAGCAGTATAGCATCCGCCCAGCAAGAGCGAGGTCCTGAGTTCAAGTCCCAATACCAAAAAAAAAAAAAAAAAAAAAAAACAGCTAACAGAATCTCTCACCCCACAGTGGGTCATAGGAATAATACAAGTAATAAATAAATTGTAAAATAGACTTGTGATTGTATAATCCCACCATTAACATGCTGCTTTCCCACATTATCGTCATTTAGAAGGGTACTGATTGTATGGGACCTTTTTACCTAATGTTTTCACATTGGCAATTTCTTCTTTACAAGTTGTTATAGAGTTGTACCTGTGAATCCCCTCCCTCTCCAGCTTATTGTATTCAAACTTTTATTCTATGCAATAGGAGAAGATTAGACTTACGCTGTATCACAGTAACCGCTTTCATGAACCTATATGTTTAATTATTTTCCATTTCCTTTTTCCCTCTGGAATATAGACATGTGGATGAATAAAGATGAATCTTGGAATTTCCTTCAGGAATATGATCCAGAACTAATCAAACAGGAGAAGCGGAAAGAATTAGAGTCGGAGATAAGAATACAGGTACAGCTACGTTCATCCCATGGCAAGAATAAGTTATTACCATGATGTACACCTAAAATCCCAGCACTTGGGAGGTTGAAGCAGGAGAATCATCACAAGTTCAAGGCCAGCCTGAACTACATAGTGAGTTCAAGACCAGCCTGAACTACATAATGAGACCCTGTCTCAAAAAAAAAAAACAAAAAAGTTGTTTGCTTTTTCACAATTTCCTACTAATGACCTACCCCAGAATTTAAATGATTTTCAAATTCCACCAGGAAAACCCAAGACATGAGAAGTCACTTAAAAGTCCTATATTTTGTACCCACCTAGGTTGATGAGTTGATGAGACAGGAACTAAAAAACTTAAAACTAGCAGTGAACAAAGAAAAGGAACTTCCGGTCAAAGAAGGCAGGAAGAAAGGGAAGAAGGTAAAGCACGAATGGGGGTGGGGACCCAGTAACGGAAAGGAGCCCCTGCCCAGGCACAGCAGGTCTACGAGGTCCGCCTGCAAGACCAGCAGGCTGTGCTCGGGATGCCTCACAGGAAAGCATGGCACCCCCTGTATCTCTGCTGGTCCACCACTCGGCCTGCAGGGCTGTGGACTCGTATGGCCCACTCCCCCCAGCTGGCCTCTCCTGGCCCACTCAGCTGCAGGTTCATGTCACCCAAGCCCCACGGAGCAGCTGCAGCGCATGCCCTGAATGTCCCTAGTCTCTCCTGCGGGTGGCTCTGCAGGGGAGGCCAACAGCAATGAGCAGGTTTGGGTGGGGGGTTCGCAGCGAAAGGAACCAGCTGAATCGAGTTCTGAGTGTCCCAGTCCACGTCACAGTGGTGTGGGGCAGTCATCTGCATCCCTGTGTTCAGCTCCATTTACTCTGACTCCCCATTCCACCTTCATTCTAGCGGGCCGGAATGCTCAGAAGAGAAAGCCCAGTCCCTCTCCCTGCTGGCACTGGCTTGCACATGGGCATCCTGTGCTTCTGCAGGGCTTGGTGCAGGTCCCACAACAGGGACAGTCTTCCTGGGACTCACATGTCGCCTCCTACCATTCTTCACATGTTCCGCTGCACCGATAACTGGTTTTGCCAACTCAGGGCCACATAGTCTTAGGTGACTGTCCTCATCCATGGTGTTTGGATTTTAGGGTTGAATTCTGAAGTCAGCTGAGTTCCCAGCGGCCCTATTCTGACACGTGTCACTAATGTCCCTTCTCTCGATGTTCTGACCTCTTTCTGGAGTATCTGTTGATGCCACCATGGGCTCCATGCATGTGATTGTTTTTTTCTCCAGAAAAGCTATTTCTTAATGACTGAGCATGAAAACTGAGCTGCATAAAAATGGGAAATTAAAACAGGAAGTAGCTGAGCCCCTCTGGCTGAAAACAGGCTTTTCTCTGCCTACAAACCCAGCATCAGCCTTGCCCGGGTCAGAGCAGGCTTCCTCGCCCGTGTACAGTCATGCTGTGCCAGAGTGGGTGCCAGGGCACTCCGAGGGATTGCTGCTAAATGTGTCACAGGGAGTTTGTGCGCCCAGCTCTCCAGCCTGGGTCCCCTGAGGGTGAACCTGCAAGACGGGACAGGGATGGGGTGGAATGGCAGAGGACAAAACTCACTGACTACACCAAGCGCCCTCTGGAGAAAGACCACTAGCCACAGGGGGAGCAAATGCAGTATAGAAGGAGCAAAGGGAGTCCAAGGGATAGACCAGAGCTTACTCCTGACCTGGAGAGGTCTTTCTCAAAGACTGCTCTGATTACGCCCCTCCCCATTTCAGCTCTGCCCTGGAACCCCAGTGCCCTGAGAATCAAGACTACAGTCTTCAGCTGGGTCTGTAGGGACCATTCCCTTCTGACTGCTGCCCTCTCCTCCTGCCTACAACTCATCCACTGACCTGCCTTACTGTCTCTCAGAGGCACTTTGCCCCCCGCCGTCTACCCCAAGTCCTTTGCCCATGAAGTTCTGTCCCTACTCTCCTCTCCTGTCCCCCAGCTCAGGCCTAGTGAACGAGATCTTACTGGACTCAGGCCGTGCCTCCTTCTCCAGCAAGGCCTTCTGGGACCTCCAGAGTAGGTCTCATTTCTCTGTATGAACACGGACTATGGCTTTGCTGTATTTTATCACAAGGTGAATTGTACAAAACACGTAAAGAACGATTAACACCAATGATTCTCAGCTTCTTAAGGAAAGGAGAGTCCAGCAGCACTCTGAAAGCAGAGCCAGATAAAAATACTACAGTAAAAGAAAACTATCAATATCCCTAATGAATATGGTTGTAAATATTCTCAACAAAAGGTTGCCAAGCTGTAAAAAAGTTACACGTCATGATCTGGAACGCAAGCATGGCTCCATATATGCCAATCATATTTCTATGCTAGATCACACTGATATTCTATGCCATTTCAAAAAATGCTGAAAAGCATTTGACAAAATTCACCATTATTGTACAATAAAAACTCAACAAATTAGGCATAGAGGGAATTTGTCTCAACATAGCCATGGTCACCAAGACTATGTGCTGTTGCTTTCAAGAGGGAGGAAAGAAAGAAATAAAATATGACAGAGAACTCAGATATAAGCCCACACAATATGCCTGATTTTTACTGAAGATGAAAAGCAATTTCAGGGAAGACTGATACCTTTGAATACATGAGGTTGGTATAATTGAATAACCACGAGAAAAGAAAAGGACATTGACCTAAATCTCACACATTATACAAAATTGGCTACCGATTTAAATATACAATGTTATACTATAAATTTCTTAGGAAATGGGGCTGGGGATTTAGCTCAGTGGTTCTGCCATCTGCCTTGCAAGCACAGGGTCCCAAGTTCAATCCCTGGTACCAAAAATAATTTTTTCTTAGGAAAAATATATTTTAAAATGTTTGCAACCTAAGGCTCAACAAAGAGCTCTTAGAAGTAATATACTAGAAGCATAGTTTATAGAAGGAAATTTCGGACTTCATCAAAATTACAAATTTTTGCCCTGTGAAAGGCCTGCTAAGAAATAAAAGACAGGCTACAGACAGAGGAAGTATGGGCAAACTTCCTCTCTGACAAAGAGCTAGTAACCAGAACATATCTGTCATCAAAAATTTTAAATGCTGGAGAGATTGTAGGCAAAAGGAAACCTCTGCACTGCCGGAGGGAACGTAAATTAGTACAGTGATGATGGAACCAGTATGAAGATTCCTCAAAAAGCTAAAATTAGAAATTCCACTTACCCACCTATACCTCTCCTGTCATGTCCCCCCAAAGACACCGTACTCTACTGATAGTGATACCCAAGTTTACAGCAGTGCTAATCTCTGGAAACAGCCTAGATGCCCATCAATGGCTAGATGAAGAAAGAAAATGTAGTATATATACACAATGGAATTTTATTCAGCCGTAAAGGTGAAAAATTGGATGGTTTCCCTTATATGAAAACCCAGTTATAAATAACAGTAAAATAAAGGATGCAGGAGGCTGGATCCTTCATATGGTATTGGTGGGAATGGCGGGGTGGTGTAGCCATGCTGCTAAACAGGTTTTTATTAAAAAGAATAAACATCCAAATATCGTACAACCCAGCCATTGAACCCACGGGCTTTTTCTGTTCGCTGCAGTAGTTTCTTCACACTTGTGTTGCTTTGGCACCTATTCTGAGTATAAGATCAACTTTCTCAGACCAGAATTGGGGCTGAGCAGCAACCCTCGACCCTGGGGTCGAAGAGGATGTAGATAAAGTAGAATAGAAACGAGGCTGTGAAAACTGAATGCAGCAGAATTTTAACCTCTTCCTGTGGGTCATGGGAGCTATTGATGGATATTTTAATAAAACTGTAAAGCAGTCAGCACTGCTTCAAAGATGGCATTTGGGACACATCCCTCCGGGCTGTCACAAGTGTCCCTTGGGAACTGAAGGTGAACAGTTGCCTGGCCCCAAGGCTGAGAGAGAAATAGCTGGGCACTGCTGTAGTCCTTTAGTGCTGCTGTAGCAAAATGTCTTAGACAGGGAAATGTATAAAGAACAGAAAGTTGCTGCTCACCATCCAGAGCTGGCAAGTCCCAGACCACGGGCTGAGAGGGCTCTGTGCAGGGAGCCCTGTTTTCCTCTGCTTCAAGGACAGTTCCCCTTCCCGACATCTTTCCAGGAAGGAAGGGTGAGCAAGAGTCTCCTGTCCTCTTTTGGAAGCACATGAATCCCATCCACGCCTTCGGAGCTCTTGTGACCTGACCACCTCCAAACCCCACCACTTCATGCTGTCACCTCGGGGATCAGGAGTGAATATATGAATTGTGGCACTCAAACTTGAGACCACAGCAGGGTCAGAGCCAAATACAGCTCTAACCTCTGCCTTTGCCAGAGCCCAGGAAAAGGGGCAGAATGCTCAGGGCCTGTTAGGAATCTGGCCCCAGGTGGGTTCCACTGTGGAGACCTTCCCTCTGGCCCCACGAGCCTCAGCCACAAAAGCACCACAGCCCAAGTGCAGGGTCACCCAGTCCACTGTCCGTTTTGCAACCCCAAAGAGAGTTTGCTTAGCTCACTTCAGGGATGGTCCACCTGCTTGTTTTTACTAAACTGTTATTCTTTCCATTTTCTTTCTGCTGAAGAAAGGGAAGAAAACCAAAAAAGGGAAAAGAGGGAAGAAGGATAAGGACCTGACAGCTGACAGGTGAGGGCCATGCTGTCTCGGTTGGGGCCAAGAGGGCAGAGGGTGGGGAAGACCGCAGGAATGCCTGGCTCCCTGCACCTTTGGGAGCCGGTGTTGGAGAGATGCCCAGCAAAAACCCAGGCCCAGAGGGCCCAGGGATTTAGCTCAGTGGTTCCACCATCTGCCTTGCAAGTGCAAAGTCCCAAGTTCAAGCCCCCATACCCCCCCAAAAAAAATAGAACCCAGGCCCAGAACACCTCAGTGCCCGTTGCCTCTGAGTTCCTGGAACTTTGTAAGTTTTAGCGTTCATACAGGAGTGGGAGGGGGGGCAATGTTCTTTGGAAGTTGCTTAGGAAATAACCTCCAGGTGGGACCTTTGAGGCCATGCTGAGGCTGAGGTCCTGCAGGCAGACAGCAGCCCTGCCCCACCCCCCTGTTGAGGGAGCAGGTACCTGGATTGAGGAGACCCCAGAAGGTCTTTCCCTCCTTGAGTTTCCTCAGGGGCAGCATGAACCTGTGACTTTCGGTGCTCAGCTTCTGTGCTATGATACTAAAAATAAGTAGCAGCCAGGCCTACTGATACAAGCTTGTTTGTAATCCCAGCACTCTGGGAAACTGAGGCAGGAGGACTGTAAGTTCTAGCCCAGCCTGGACAATTTACTGACGTAGTGAGACCATGTCGAAATGTTTAAAAAGAGAAGGAGAGGGCCGGGCATACAACTTGGTACAAAGGGTTCTGGGTTCAGTCCCCACTACTGACAAAAATAAATAGTACTCTCCAGGGCAGGGGTGGGAGCAGAGTTCTAAGGTCCCCTTTATGGATACCTCAGGAGCCCCTGGATGGCCTCAGGGACGGGCAGGGGTCCTAGCTGAGGTTGCCGTGTCTGGGGACAGGTTCAGGTTGGGACCCGGAGTCTCAGTTGCCGGGACAAGCACATATCTGCACACAAACCTGGCAGCTTCAGGGCAGCTCCTGGGACGTGGGGATCCGCAGTGCCATCCCCGGTGGTGGATCCTGCTCGCTCACACACAGTGCCACAGGGGTCCTGGAGCTGGTGATTAAGGTCACTGTGTTCCTCTGTTCTCTCATGCCTCCCAAGAGAGTGAAGAGATGACAAAACAAAGCCAGCCCACATCTCCAGATGCCCCCGACCCCCTAGTTAAATGACTCACTCGCATTCCTTCCACTGAAAGCATGGCTTTAAGGAATAAGACACTGCTAAGCAGCGTGGACCACACTCGGGATTCGGGGATAAGGAAGGTGGGATGTGACTGTGCTCGGGCATGAGCTTCCTTCCGGGCAGCAACCACAGATCAGCTGCAGGCAGCCCCCCTGTGCCTCCAGCACAGGGCTGGGCTTTGTGCTTATTTTTATGGCATCTCATTCCTGAAAGACTGCATTTCAGTGTTAAAGACCCTATATCTCTCCGCTCGGGGTAGCTCTGCCATGGCACTGTGAGACAACTTCTGTTTCTCTTGCCAGCGTTTCTAGCCTAGCTGAAGGCAATTTTAGATTTGAAGATGCTTTATTCTATAACAAAAGTTTATTTCCCTGGAAAAACTCCAAATAGAGGTTTGTGGTGGGGGCTTCCTAATCTATTTTGCTCTGATAACTTTAGGGAATGGTCTTCAGTTTCATGTCCCTTTTTTCCTATGTTCTGTGTCGATATTAAATAATGATTCAAATGAACACACCGTAGGTGGTATTTCCTTAATCATGGTCAGGTATTGTTGGCCCACATTCCACTACAAGTAATCCTTAAAAGTAAAGAGAGCATCTCCGAGGACCACACTGTATGATATTTGAGCTTTATTCATCCAAATTCCCCCAAACTCCGGTCGGTTGCACTGGGGATCTCACCTTTAAGCGGGATACTCGGTATCTTTTCCAGTCGGTATAAATTAGCAGCGTACCGGCCAGATGCCAGAGCCTGTCCCTGATTCTGACTTCTGTAAACCCTGCCAAAAAGTAATCACCCTCCCGAAACATCATCACGCACAGCTTCAGATGCTTTATCTTCCATATAAGAATGATCTCCAGTGTAAGCTTTTGTTCCTTGTAGATATTTTTTTTAAACTATTCTACCATCACATTAAAAGGAAACATATTTCACAAAGGATTAATGATCGACTATGGCTCGCACATGCTAACTGAGTAGATAATCATAGGCCCATTGCGTTACCATTACTGGGTAATTTCTAATTCATATTTGTGCCAGCATGAAGACTTGTAGAGTTATAGCTACTCTCAGACACCCAGAGATATAATTCTTATTAATAAGAAACATCCAGTATGCACATGGGTCAGTGAAAGTATGTTTTGTAAAAGCCTAATTTCTCCTCAAGTTGTAGAAACACTTTAAAAATCCATTTGTTTGTGTCTTAGTCACTTTTCTTATTGCTGGGACAAAATATACAGCACCCGTAAATGAAAGAAGCGAGGTTTATTTTGGCTCACGATGTAGAGATTTCAGTCCATGGTCCACTGGCTCAAAGGCAGACAGCATGGCAGAGAGGAGCTGCTCACAACAGGGCAGACAGGAAGCAGAGAGAATCAAGGGAGGAGCCGGGGAGGGAGATGGACCCTTCACGGCCACGGCCCCAGTGACCCCTCCTCTGATGAGTACCACAACCACCTCCCTAAAGCCCTGCCTGCCAGCGCATGAGGCTTTGGGGGGACACCCAGGCCTGCACCATGCTGATCTGCATACACACTTTGAAATGGGTGTGGCCTGAGTGCTTTGCATAGGCAGCGATTGACAAAAACACTGTGGATTTCACATGTGTGATGGAGTTCCATGCTCTGCTACCCCCCAGGACCATTGAATCTCTGTACAAGGAGCTGGTGGAGGAAGGGCTGCTGATCCAGTCCCTGAAGGTCAACCTGTCCGATTACATTGGTAGGTACCCAAGGGCAGTGCGTGTGTGTGTCACCCGGCACCCCGGGTCCTGAGCCCCACCAGCTGGAAATGTGTTTCATACAAAACCAAGGCCTGGCCCGGGGCATCTGCTGGTGAATGTCGGTGAGACTGAATTAACTTGAATCACTTAAGAGTGTGCTGCTGTGGACTCAAGGGTTCTCTTCACAATGATGGTCCCATTCTCTCTTATGCGGTAGAAGCAGATTTTTTAACCTGCTAGCAATTTCCTTGGTGCATTCCATTTGTTGTTTTGTTTTGTTTCTTGTGCATTGAGCCAAAGGCCTTCCCACACACACTGAGCTACATCCCAAACCCTTTATAGTTTTTTAGTTTTCAAACAAGATCTTGCTAAGTTGCCCAGGCTGGGCTCAAACATAAGATCCTCAGCTTCCAAGAGAGCTGGGATTACAGGTGTTCGCACCCCATGCCAACTCATGGGGCACTCTTTCCGCCTAACCTAACTGAAGGAGATGAAGGATTGTTCATGGCAACTCCATAATCCATCATGCTTAAGGGAGCAATTCCTTCTGAAAGGACCTTGCGGCAGGGACAGAAGTGGCAGGAGAACAGAGAGAACAGTTGTTATCACTGTTTTCATGAATGTATTTCTGTTGATTTAGAATAAAAACAATGTGACAACCTGAAAGCACACTTAAAGCATAAAATGTCCCCAAACTCTACCATCCTAATGTAGATATTTTGCCCACTCCCATGAAAAAAATATTTCCTACAAGAGGATGGTCACACTCAGAAAAATCTAACATTAATACAAACGCTCTCACCTAATCCACGGCTGATATTCTATTTCACCATTGTCCCCGAGACAGTTTGTCTTCCTCAGTGAAGAGTCCCAGCGAGGACATACGTGTGATCACATCTCTCTCTTCTCCCTTAATCCTGTACATCTAGAAACCATTTCCCAGCCTCTCCCAGCCCCTCACAGCATTGCCACTGTGGAAGAATCTGAGCTGATGGACAGACTGTCCCCTGATGGTTTCCCCATTATCTGATTTACAGTAAACATTTGTGACAGGTTGACAGGTGCCAGTGTGTCCTTCTCAGTGCTCCCCACTTGGGCACCACTGTGTCCTGTCACTGGAAGGTGAACCATGTGTCCTGGGGCTGTCCCCAGACTCCCTCCCTTCACAATCAGGGAATCACCCACAAAGTGCCACCTGGGTCTCCGGGGCTCTGCCCCAGCCATCTTCTACACAAACCTTTTTCGTACACAGTGATGCCCTGAGCCTGCACCTGCTATTGCTAGGGTGGTGGGGAAATTGGGTTTCTCTCCTCTACTCCTCCACATGGAAGAGAGCGCATATTCTCCTGTAAGGAAGCTCAGGACCTTCTGAGAAACTGTGCTGGCACCAAGCTGGACACATAGATTCTCTTTTGAGTAGATGCATTCTACACTGTCCCTGTCGTGATTCACTCTAATGTCCCTGCTGGCCCAGTTTGAGCTTGTGAGTTGTGACAGCAATGCCCTTGACCAAAGGGTGATTACTGTGATCCCTTTGAGAGAGCTTTGCTTCCAGTTGTGGGGGCTTGAAAGAGCCCCTACCAGGCTATCTCTGGAGTTTCTGATTATTACTGTGTTTCTTATTTTACTTTTGTGGTGCTGGGGATGCAACCCAGGGCCTTGTGCATAGCAGGCAAGCCTTCTGCCACTGCGCTACACACACCCACAGGCCCTCATTCAAGTGATGGCACTTCTCTCTCATATTCTCTTGATTCTGTTCTGTTACTTCTGTTAATATTTTTAAATGACATTTTCCAACATAACTGTCTCTTGCTGTGGTCTGAATCTCTCAACTGAAGTGTCTCATGCTTATTACAGGGCCTCTGCTGTGGTGGGTTCTCAATAGCTCCTTGAGGACTAGTTTCTGGACACCTTATTAGTGTCTTACCCTTCTGCACTTTTTCTGTGACCTCTCATTTTTCAAGTAGCAGCTTCAAAACAAGGTCAAAAGGGAAAGGTCAACTACCTACAAGTGATTCTAAATGAAAATGAACTAATCTAACAAAACCGGTAAAAATTCTCAGTGAATGTGCTGCTACAGGCCTGTAATCTCAGCACTGTGGGAGGCTGAAGCAGATGGATTGCAAGTTCAAGCCCAGCCTGGGAAACTCAGTGACTTTCTGAGACCCTGTCCCAAATCAAAAATAAAGGACTGGGGATATAGCTCAGTGCTAAGGCCCTGGGTTCAATCCCAAGTACCGCCGGCAAAAAAATCAAATTTCCCCAAAGTCTGGCACACTTTGACCTTGCCCATATTTTCCTTAATTGTTCCCAGTTAAGATACTTGGCCTGAAAGACAGCAGTATATCCTTCCCAGTCAGCCACACAGAGAATAGCACAACCAGACAGTAAAGCCCAAATCCCACATTTAACACCAAAACTCAATGGCTCAGTTCACTCCTGTGCCCCCGAGTTCAAGCCACCAGGACCCTGAAGGCCCAGAGGACCGCAGAGCCTGGCACAAGCAGCACACACTCACAGGAAGGGCCACAGCCCGGGAGAACTGGAGCCAAATCAGGGGAGGAGTCACCCAGGTCCACAGCAGGGGAGTGTGGAGACCAACAGGCAGCATGGGGGCCAGCAGCCTGCAGCGCAAAGACTCTGAGAGCGGGATGGAAATTTAATGAGACAAACTAAAGATGGAACAGGGAAAGGCCCAGCGAAAAAGTTGGAGAGGAGAACAGAGTCGGCATGTGTCGAAAAGCAAACCACCGTGTTTTTAACATGCATGGAACCTTCACAAGCACGGAGCATTCACTCACGTGAGCTCAGAGAGGGAGGAGCCCAAGGTCAAAGCCCACACTGAATTAGCACAGGAAAAAAATAACAGGGAAAAATTCACATCCCAAAATGTCAGCCTCATTGAGCATGTTTTTACTGGAACCTGTTACATCAAAACAAACTAATTTACATTAAGACAATTATAGATGACCTGTACGAACAGCATGAGATAGAATTAGAAAAACTCAGAAGCGAGGTGGAGAAAAGCTTAAGAAATACCACAAATATGGGGAGATGTTTTAAAAACTAAGTCATAATGACTAAAGACCACAGACAATACTTTTAAGAGAAATAAAAGATGAAAGGACATTTTTTAAGTCAAACTAGAAATAAAACAATAAAAGATTTGAAACAACATGTGAAATATCGAGGACAAAGAACCAACTACGATCTATTGTACCAACACACTGAAGAAAACCAAGGCACAGGAATAGAACAAACACGAGAGCCAGACCTCATGAGCGTTTCTTTAAAAAGACACTAAATCCGCATGAAACAAGGTTTATACCTGAGGGTGCTGACTCAGGTTAACCAACACCAAGATAGCTTCTAATACAAGTATCTCCGGGCTTCTGTGCAGAGACTGCATTACTTACAGCGGAAGGGAAATTGGGTTGTCATCAGATTTTCCAACAGCCACACTTCCTATCAAGGCTAAACAGAGTAGCAGCTATCGAGCACTCAAGGAAACTAAATAGGACCCAAGGATCTTTGTACCAAGCCAAATTTATTTCTAGTAGTACAGAACACAAACTTATAATGTGCAAGGCCTCAGAATATTTTCCGTGAACCCAACCTACAGGTGATCAAAACTGAGCAGAGGCCTTGGCACAAGACTGGTGGTGAGCATCAGAGCATGCCCTTAGATAAACCCAAGAGGGCGTGAGGGCTGTCGGGGAGAGAGCATGAGGATGGGCAGGATGGCTGTGTGCTCAGACAGCAGCCAGAGAGCAACCACAGGATGTGGGAAGGAGACCCAGGACCCACAGAGAGTGTCACTGCTGCCAGATATCATAACTGGCAGTGTTTTTGTTCCTGTGTGGTTGTGTACACGTGTGCACATGTCACATGGGATAAAGCACATGAGAAATCATGGTAGTCTATTGTCCCTGTGTCCTTGAAAACTAAGATTCTTCACAGGGAAGAGAGAAAGTCTGTATGCACTACAGAAAGGGTTAGGTATAAACTTATAATCCTGAATTTGAGCTGGAAATAGCAGCTCTGACTGATGTTGTAGCATGTCTTTGTCTCTGTCTGTCTCTGTCTGTCTGTCATCTGTCTCTCTCTCTCTCTCTTTCTCACACACACACACACACACACACACACACAGTCACATACACACACACACATGCTGGGGTGGTCTAGATCGTTAACTTCTTAGGAATTTTGTGAGTGACTCTGAGGCCTACCAGGGGACATAAGGCTCCAGCGCTGTCCAGTGTCAATGCCTGGCATGAGTGACCACCTCATTAGCCATGAGAAACCCTGATTTTCAGATTAGAGACTTAAACACTATTTATTACCCAAGAAACCAACATTTCTTGGAGAAATGACTTGTCTCAGACAGGGACACAAGACACAGAGAAAACCCTGAAGCAGTCATCTCTTATCAGATGGCAAAGAACTGTCAGAAAGAACTAAATGTATGGCAAGAACCTCCAGGAGCCAAGCTGGAGAAACTCCCTCTGCCCAAAACTGGGATTCTGTGAGCTGTGCCGAGGGTAAGAAATACAGTGGCTTGAAATCCATGAAATATGTTGTTATTCACAAGTTCATAATAACATTAAGGAAACCAATGGATCATCCTCTGAGCTTCACCAGAAACCAGTTCACCATCTTGAAAACTGATGAATAAAAAGAATCCAGCATTTGTTCCATGTTTCATGTATACTATACCACCAGGTAACCAAGAAGTAAGCAAGGGATGTTTTCTGTGGTGAATCATCTCAGCTAGTGAGTAAAAACAACTACAGAGTAGAAGTAGGACATGGGCATTTTGGTAGCTGTGTCACCTGCAGGCAGTGGCCCCAGGGGCTGCTCAAATAGCAAAGAGCATGAAAGGTCGAGTCCTGCACCTCCTCAGGGGACACAGCACATCCTGTAGTCTGGCCAGAGGTGCCGAATTTAACCTGTTCAAGCCCCAAACCCAGCTGCTAACTAGACTGCTCATCCAGCAGGTTTAAGAAAGCCCATTCAACCCTGTCTTTGGCAGGGGCGTGGGGAGTTTTGACCACACAGTCTTCTCCTGGACCATGTCTTTGTGCTTCCTCATTTCCCTCAATCTGAGCTCAGCCCTCTTTGCAGGACTGGTCAGGGAGAAGGCTACTTTACCATCCTACCCATCACTCCCTGCACTCAGGGGAGATGAGGAGGAGCTGGCCAGCTGCAGAGGGCATTGCTCTCTGGGTAGCCCTTCAGTGGTCCATTGCTCCTCCAACCAATGTCTGGTTGTGGAATAGCCTGAGGTCCTCAGCATGCGGTAATCTTTTCCGAACAGGCCATGCAGACTTCCTACATTGGGGGAACTGGGATCAAATAAGTGTGGGGAGCCCTCCAGTAGGAGAAAGGAGGGACTTCTGACACAAAGGCCTTGGCTGTAGCCTGCACATTTCCAGCAGACCAGGGAAAACTCTCTCCAGGGTCTTATGATTTGCAGTCCCACCTTCCCATCACCACCACCGATGCTCAGTCACGCCTCCTGCCCTGTACACATCACAGGAAACACAGGGAGAGCAAACACAAATCTACTCCTGAGTGATCTTGCCACACCCACAATGCAGTAGCTGCCGCCCTTAGTTGAAAATGGACCCACATCCAGTTCCTGTTCTTCACCTTTGACTCTGCGTTCATCACCTGCCCCAGGAGTGGGAGACTCAGCAGGTCACAGTCCAGTCCCTGAAGCTATGGTTTCCATGAATGCGCTTGGAAAACACCTGAAACACTGGGATCACCAGCTTGCCAAGCAGGTGCTGCACAAGTGTCACCTGCAGTGCTGAGGTGCTGGTTCACCAGCCACCTGTGCTGGGCCATGGGAGGGCCCTCCACCCCTTGTCCTTGAGGATTCACCTAAGCAGCTAGCATTTGTAAATAGACGCCCCGCTCCTCATTCCTGCTTAATGCTGTGTTGGGTGGTACGGGAAGAAACATGAGGCTGCCTGCATTTGTATTTCGCAGATATTTCTCATCACCTTTTAACTGTGCTCTAGTGTTCTGCTTCTCTTCTGCTACTTTGCTTTTTCTTTATCAGTGTGGCAACCATAGTAAATGCAGCAAGTGAGGTGGCTTCAGCAGTGGAAATTTACTGGCTCACAGTTCTGGTGTCTGAGGCTAGGATGAGGGCGGGGTGGATCACTTCTGGACCAGTGCCGGAACCTGCTCCCAGTCCCTCCTGCTCCTGGTGGCACCTGGCAGTCTTTGGTCTCTGCCTCATCTCTGTATAGCGTTCTCCCGCTTCACATCTTTCTCTGTATCCAGATTTCCCCTTTTTATAAAGGCATCAGTTCTGTTGGCTTTCAAACCTAATGACCTCATCCTAACTAAACACATCTGCAGACGACCTTACTTCCAAGTGTGGTCACAGGCCGAGACACTGTGGGTACAGATTCACAAGGGAACACAGTTCAGCCCCTGTCATGTCCCATGCTCCTTTACTCCCCGCTGTTCTGTTTCCTGGGCCTTTTCCCTGTTCTCTATCTCAAATACCTTTCCTACTACTTTCCTTCTTTCCTCCTACAGGAGCCCTGATGTCCACACAATACATGTAGGACTTCTCGAGCACCAAATGGGCAGGTGGAAAGGGACTCTGGCTCCTATTCTGGGCACTCAAAGAACACAATAACTTCCTTTTAGCATGAGCCTTGACCTGGCCAACAGCACAGGCCAATTGGATCTCCCCCTGTCAGGACCAATACTGCTAATTCGACTGAATACAATTTGTCTAAATAAAATATGTTAGGTCTTAGAAAATATGATGTGTTTGGACATTAATGTGGGCTTCTATAAGCAGGAAAATCGAGGTCACTTTCATATCCCTTCTAATGTCCTGTTTACTGGCAGTGAGCACTCAATTTAGCAGTGATCTCTTTCTACTTTGGTGCAGGCTAAGTTAACCACTCTCCTGTTTATTAACTGCTCATTCAAAAGCAAGGCAGTGAGGCCATAATGGAAGCTTTCCATTGTCACCTACCCCACAGCCAAGACCACTGTCCTTGCCGAGGACTTTATCTTTGCTACCTGCGGACATTTTGGAAGACAGCCCCCCACAGCCACTATCTTGGTTTTAACTCTGATTTTCTTAGCATTTGAAGATGCTCACAAGCCACTGATAATCTCAGCATTTCATATACATTAGCACGCGCGTGTGTTATCTGCCACATGCATGTCACATCCAAAGCTCTGCCAGGGCACTCCTTGCTACCGGAAGAAAGCATCAGGAAGACCAAATGGAGATGCCTCCACTGAATGCTTTTACTCCAGATACAGACAGAAAGCCAGGGAAGCACACGAGCACATAAAGGCCCGTCCTCATGACGAATGGAGACGGCCAAACTAATTTTCCTGGTGACCTTATCTAAATTAGTTAGGAAATAAGCCTTCAGATTTATGACCGGGTACAATTAAGCCCTTTGATATCTTCTAATTAAACCTGCAGAGATTTATTTCTGTATTATTCCTCCAGTAACCCTTTAAAATGATAAAAATGTAAATTAACACTCCCCTCAAAAGGAGATGCTTCTATTTATCCCAGATTAGACTCATACCTTCCCCTTCAGTGACTGCAGCTTAGATTTGGGTTTTCACTGCTAAAATGCAAATTCCATCTGGATTTTAAATAATTTATTTTTGAAATGTGTAAAAACGCATATATAACCTCTTAAAATATAAGTAAAGCAAATCCCTGCAATATTTTAACCTTATTTATATGTCCCTCATTTTGTGTAACTCAATAGGCAAATGTTATCTTTAAAAATAAATTAAGCTAGGTCCAAGGATATAGCTCAGTGGCGCTACAGCTACCTGGCAAGCTCAAGGTCCTGAGTTTGATTCCCGCTACCAGGAAAAAAAAAAAAAAAAAAAAAAAAAAA